CGCTAAGCCTGCTATGCTAATAAGGTATCCTACTCGTTGTGCTATGATTGGACCACTACCCCTATATAAGCTTGTGCCTTCCTGTAATAAAGTAGATCTGTGTCACTGAACCTGGTCTCCTGTGTCTGAATGCGGCTCTGCTAACACAGGCTCCTCACCAGCCCTGGGGTCTGGGACCAGGCAGAAGCAGCAATGATCGGAGGCAGCACAGGGTGAGCAGAAGAGCGACCTCAGTGCCAGGTGAGCAGAAGAGCGGCCACAGCACCAGGCGAGTAGAAGAGTGGCCTCAGCCCAGGGCGAGCAGAGGGGCAGCTGCAGAGCCCATGAGAATGAAGGAGCGGCACCCGCGTGAATGGAGGAGTGGCTGCTGCCCTGCGGCGGCCACAGGAATGTAAATTAAAGTCATCATGAATAGCTCACACATAGCACTATTTACAATAGCCAAGTTACAGAATCAACCTGTGTCTCACAACATATGACTAGATGAATAAAATATTATATATATTGTGTTTATATTACATATATATATATATATACACACACCCCCCACACACATCACAGTGGTCTATTATGTAGCCATAAATAACAAAATGTCACTTGCAGAAAAATGATCATGTTAGGTGAAATAAGCCAGTGGCAAAACAAAGTATCACGGTTTTTCCTCATACTTGTAATCTAGAAAAAGATCATGAACATAGAAGGAGTATTATTAAGGAAAGTGAAGGGAATCAGGATAAGGTAGGTGGAAATGTGTGGGTAATGGGCATGTATAAATATGATCAAAGTATATTTTATGCAAGCATTATAAAAGTCATATGAACACATTATTTTTGTGCCATTAATAATGTACTTGTGTACTAGGCAAGAAAATATTTATAACACATATAGCAAAGGACTAATTTATTTTAACATATGAAAGTCTTTTACAAATAATAAAAAGACCAATATACACATTAGTCTGGGACTTGAACAGTCATTTCTTTAAAAAGTGAATATGACTTTTTAAAGCATGAAAAATAGCCTATAATTATTCAGTTTGAGAAGTGAAATGATAATAGAAAGAAGTACCAATTTTCTCTTTAAAAGATTGACTAAATTGCAATAGGTGGAGACTATTATAAAATTCCACAACTGGTGAAATGCAGAGAATTAGTGTCTGTGAGGTGCCCAGCCCTAAGTGACAGCATCTACAGTGCAACATCTACACCTAAGACTCAGAGAACACCAGGGAAGAGGGACAAGAGCCAGAGGGATAAGACATATGCCTCTATTAGTTAAGACATTCTAGACATGACAAGGAAGTTGCACCAGTGAAATCGCCACAGTATGGCATTCTAACAAGAACTGCATATAATAACAAAACCAGTTGACATACCAAGGTAGAAATGCCAAGAGAACCAACCTCCAGATAAAGAGCTAGAGATAGTCAATGGATGCTGAGAGAGGGGAAATCAGTTTTCTCCAGGGACAAGCTCCCTTATAGGTTATCTGACTTCAAGTGGGCAACCTTAAGCACAGATATTCAGGAGCACCACTGAATGGACTCATTGCATTATATATTACATACAGTATATACACATATCAGCTTATTGTATATAATATAAATATATCTATAATGTATGCATGTATATATAGCAATAATTAAGAAAGGGGACAGGAAATTGAGAGGGAGTCAGGGAAGGGCCATAGCTCTTGATTGTATCCCAGAACTTGAAGAATTATGAAGGCAGGTCATACTTTGGACACAGGACTTGGAGCAAATGAGTTGGAGCTAACCTGGAAGTCTCCTCCCTGAAAACTGGCTCTCATTATATCAGAGGATACTATGCAAGCTGCTAAGGGAGAAAACCAATCAACTGTCCAATCCAGCTGTAAAACCTAATAACTACAACAATGATCAGTACAGTAAACAATCTTTATTGGTTCAGTAGTAGAACTTCTCTATGTTGAGGGGTAATCCACAACTAAGTGGACTGAAGTCTTGCTCAATGGGAGGGAACTCGGTGTGGTACTATAAACATAGCCAAATACACGTGGCTGGAGAGGTCATAGATCCTAGAGAAAAACCTATATCTGTCACATCTCTAGGCAAATGTAATTTCTTACTATATGCTAAGTATGTATCCTTATGTTTACAGACAAATGTACCTCTCACCACTCATCAAAGAAACTTCTTTTTGCAACAGGTGGAGACTGTTACAGAGTTCCACAACTGGTCAAATGTAGAAAATGAGTGTGAAAAGCCCAGCCTTAAGTGACACGTCTGTAACTCAGCCTGTACACCTAAGACTCAGGGAACAGCAGAACAGGGGCCAGAGAGAATATATTAATGCATCTCTCAACTCTCACCAGCGAAATTTCCTCGTGCAACAGATGATGATCAACACAGCCACAACTGGCCAAAATGTACAGAATAAGAGACTGCAGAGTGTGTGTCCCTGGATAGAGCTCCTATATACCTCTGCCACCCAGGGCTCAGGGACCATTTCAAAAGAGGGGGTGGAAAGACTGACTGTAAGAGTTAGAGGTAGTGGATGATCACAAAGAAAGTTTTCTAGGCTTCTGGGAACTTTCACATATGAACTTATAGCAATGGTGACAGCATGTACAAGGCCCATACAAACTCAAGCTAGACAAAAATCCAGCACAGAAGTGAGGAAATGTAGAAGTCCCAACCTTAGCTGAGGAACTGTTGGCAACTGATCACTGCTGGGTGAGGGAGAGTTGGACTTCTTTAAGGGAGTGATGCTAGATTGGTTGACCAGGCTCCAGTGAATGAGGTCAAACTGAGGGACCTCTGGGGACACAAGCTTGACTCTATAGGCCTTAATGTATATGACAAAATGCATGAAATCTGGTGGGGAGGCTATGGAGACTTCAGATAGGGGAGTGCTGTAAAAATGATCAGGATGTAGTGTACGAATTGCGCAGGAATTCAGTAAAATGTTTTTTAGTGTTAATTTGTATGGCCACTAGGTGTCGTATGTCTACCAATAAGTTCTTAAAGACTTCCAATAAGTTCCAAACAGCGTTCCAGGTCCCTGAACTAACTAGTTTATTTTTACTATGTTATACTAGTTTTCTCAAAAATTTCCTGAACTATTTCCTTATAAGTAATAGTACAGAAATTGATTAGTTTATTTTGAAATTTTTAGGCCATTTTCCTCTTTACCATTTCTTAACATCATGGTAACATTAGAGCTTCAGAGATGTCTTAACTATGAAAAATATAACTTAAATATTCTTCATTTTAGTGTTGGGGACAGCAAGATGGTTAAGAGGTCAGGGTGATTGCCTCCAAGCCTGATTACCTGAATTTAATACCCAGAACCCTCATGGTGGAGGAGAAAACCGACTCTCACAAGTTGTTCTCAGGCTTCCACACACATGCTGTGGCACTCATATTCACATATACAAAAATAAATAAACTTAAATTAAAAATATTTACAGTGTTAATAATTGCATTGCCTACATCTCCATCTTTTTAAAAATTATTTTTATTTTATGTGTATGAGTGTATTGCCTGCATGTATGTGAGTTGCACCAGTGTGGTGCAATGCTGTGGAGGTCAGAAGAGGGCATTGGATTCCCCTGGAACTGGAGTTAAGGACAGTTCATAGCCACCATGTGGGTGCTGGGAATTGAACCCAGGTCCTCTGAAAGAGCAGTTAGTGCTCTTAACCACTGAGCCATCTCTCCAGCTCAATCTTTTTAAAACTGAAAAATAATTTAGCAAATGAATGAATTTTATATGTACATAAGTATATTTTTCTTTGATTATATTATTTTAATGCTTTAATACCGTATCTTTGAGTGCTCCAAATCAAAGTTAACTGCCATTTTCTTAATGCTTGTATGACATTGATGAGGTTTTGAGCAAAGGGTACTATGAAAGATACAAAGATAAATACTGCTTCTGTCTTCATAGATCTCCAGTTTAGAATGGTGATAGTCATGACCACATGTAACTATGATACAAGTCAGGATGTCATAAAGCATTAAATGACAATATTGGGCATAGTTGAAACAGATAATTTAATTGATATTAATTTGGGGACTACAAGAAAAATGTGGCCTTTTAAAAGCTTTATAACTGCAGTTTCATTCTGTGAGTTGAATTGGAGCCCTACATAGGTTGAAGCTTCTGTTAAAGGGTGCTTGATCTCCTATGGCTAGGGTGAGCATGAGATTTTTATGTACATGTCGTCAGTATGGATCAGTAGAGTAAGCATCCATATTCCCTCTGATGGCAGTTTTCAGAAAGAAAATGATGTCATGCACTTATAAATTGCAACATTTAAAGACATAAAAACCTTCCTAGAAATTTTTTTTAAAAGAACATTGAAAAGATTAATGTAATGAATAGCTTATAGGATTTTTAACTTTGAGATTTTTTTGCTCAATTTCTTAAACATCTAGAAAGTGTGCAGCATATCATTAGAATAACTCTTACTGGATTCTAACTAGTCCAGAAAACTAGCATCTGTTGTTCATGTAATCCTCATGAAAAGTTAGATATGGGCTGCTAATGTTTATTTACACATGAAGAAATGAGTAGAGCAAATTTAAGAAATGGGTATGTATACATGAAGAGCTGCCACAAAACCAAAACTAAGTGCAAATAGATGTTTTTACACTAGGAAACTTGCTTATTTTCTACTACTTCGGTATCATTGCTGTATCATGTATGGTGAGGTTCATGTTATTCCAGTAAGAAGTGTTCATATTGATTACTTTGTGACACTTGGAGCACTAGTGTGAAGTTCTCAGTGTGAGATGAATCATAATATCATGAACCTGAGCACCTGACTGTTATGGTTATTAGCTTGTAAACTTCTGACAACATGGCAAAGTTCTAAAACAATAAGTGATGGATACCAAAGCCTAAGTAACATAACATTCAAATTAGATTTAATTCCAGCTTTGTAGTTTAAAAATGTATGGATTTTAAAACAAATTATATTTAAAATAAATGCTATTTATTGTTTGCATTTATATAGCCAGGAGAATGTAGGAGTAGAAAGAAATGGTATAAAAGTGCACTTGAGGAAGCCTGTCTACTCTATGACTATTCCCCCCAGCAAAGACTGGAAGCATGCTGCCAATCAAAGCAGGGTACGTGAATTTTTTCACTTCTTACCACCCCCAAATAAGAATTCCCTTAAATGTGTGTCTTCTAAAATGTTTTTGCACATTTAAAAATCTCTGTGTCTTTTCTTCATGTAGAAATATGGTATCTGAGTCCATCGTAGGATAATTTGAGTGAAATAATAGCATATATTTTGTCCTGTAAAGGTATTTTCAATAACTGAACTGGATTTGAGCACAGGGATTGTCAGTGTTTCTTGTAAGCTTATTTGCTCATGGACTGCATAGATCATTGTATATATTGTATATATTTCAATACCTATAAATTATTTATAAATTACATCTTCGAATTTATTTATTTTTATTAATTAATTAGTTTATTTATTTATTAAGATAGGGTCTCCTTATAGGCCCAGCTGGCCTACAACTTGCTATGTAGACCAGGATGACCTCCATCTCATCTGGAGTGGTGGGATTAAAAGTGTGTGCTTCCATTGCCCAGCTTCAAAGTGCTTCATTGTTCTTTATTGTTAGGTAGATTCAAAGTCAGGATAAAGCTCAAACATAAATTTTTTATTACATTTTGATTTACTCTTTCTCTCTCTCTTTCTCTCTCTCTATCGCTCTCTGTGTGTGGTGTGTGCATGTGTATGTGCATGCTATGTGCACACACATACATGCCTATAGAAAACAGAAAACACTCCGAGTCCATTCACTTCTATCATGTGAGTCATGGGAATCAAATTCAGGTCAAAAGACATGGTGGGAAGTGCCTTTACCTGCTGAACCATCTCACTGGCCCTCAAAGCTTTTTTTTTTTTTGGTAAATTTTTTATTGAATTTTTGTATATTTCATACAGAACATCTTTTAATTGGAATTTTTCCCTTCAAATCCACCCCTTATTAGCCAACTCACACTCTTTCTGGATCCCTCCTTCCCCATCCCCCTCACAACTTCATGTTATATAGTGTGTATGTGTGATATATACAACCTACTGCATTCAGTTAGTGTTGCCCACTTACATGTGGACATAGGACTGTGCACTGTAGCTTGGGCAACCTACTAGGACCACCACTCCTGAAGAAAACTTTCTCTTCCCTGGTAATTGTCAACTGCCTGTTAATTCTCAACTAGGAGTGAGGCCTTGTGAGTAATCCCCATTCATGCTAGGATATTGATTAGATTGATCTAGAGCATGTTTTGTGTAAGCAGCCACAGTACTATTGAGAGTTCATGAGTGAAGCTGCCTATCATCTCCAGATGATATTTGCATTAGTCCTCTCTACCCTCTACTTCTTATACTCTTCCCCAGCCCCCTTTCTGAGCCTTGGGGGAGAGGGGATATGATATAAATGTCCCATTTGTGGATGAGAACTCCACAGTCATTTTGATCATTTGTGGTTCTGTCTGCTAACCTCCATCCACTGTAAAAAAAAAAAACTTCTCTGATGAGGGATAAGAGCTGAACTAACCTTTGGATGTAATAATAAATATTCTGAAGGCAATTGAGTACTTTATCAGTTTAACGAAATGGTAATAGTAGGCTCTCCTTAGTGTCTGTGACTTCTCTTTCAGCAGGTTCTTGACCAGGTTTACAATCCCAGACATGAGGGTCCCCCCCACTTCCGTTGGGCTGAATCTAATTGGGTAACCCTTGGTTACCTCCCAAGACATTTGTGCCACTATTGCACAAGTGGACATATCTTGCTGGGAAAGTCGTTCCTGTAGTTTGCAGGGTTCACAGCTGAGTAAGGCTGTTGGTACCTTTTCTCTCTTGATAGCCACCCTAGCATATTGAGGTACTGTAGAAGTTGGCCATTGGGGAGGAGGCTTCAGTTCAGTTTCAGCATAATTTCTCCAAGTCCTTTCACCAAATCATGTGGCATCTTTGGCCCTAGCTTCTTACCCTCAAGTTCGGTGGGCAATCAAGTGCAATGGCCATGGTCTCCTCAGAGGTTTTTAAAAAAATAAATTAGGAATATTGATAAATATGCCAAGTCATTTTCAAGGTGATTACTTTGGTTTATTATATGTAGCTTTTAAAATTCATTCAACTGAAAGATTACCATAGGTATGATACACTTAAGTCTAAAAAGATTGTGATTGTCCCATAAAGTAATTTCAGTAAACTTAAATGCTTGAAATTTTTCTACTTAGTGACCACAGGAATTTTTTACCTTACAAGGTCTTCTGTCTTTGTTACCTAAGTTTGAAAGCAGGCTCCTTTGTAGGAGGATCTGGTCTTTTAAAAGTAACAGTGAATTTGTTTTCTCCTTTTTAAGTTTCATATGTATTTTCTATAAATTTGTATATGAAACATTTTATTTGAGAAAAAGTTTAAATATTAGTCAATTCACCTAAGTTTAGGTTTTAAGGAAAGTAAGTAGTCTTGAAGAGTAAAAAGCAAATGACAAGTATTGCCACTCTGCCTACCATGAGATCAGAAGAGACCCTTATCACTGCAAATGAGATTTCATGCCTTGTGCTGGAAATGCTGTCTCTGTTTATTATCAGTGCAGGTTCAACTCATCGTACTGTCACAAATACAGTTTTATGCTGTGTGCAGACTGTGCACAGTGCTGTTGATCAGCTATAATATGCTTTGAAACATTTCACTTTTAACTGTCATTTATTTCTTGAAGTTTTATTATTCTCTTTTCTCCTAGTAACCACCTTGTTCTCTCAGTAGTAAGGACCTGTCTTAGTCGTGTTGTGCCAAATGATTTGTCTGTGCCCTTTGACATTCTTCCCTGTCCAAAGGCCTTGAGAAGGATGATTTTTCTGGTTAGTTTTGTGGCAAAACTTCATTTTTTTGCTATAAGTGCGATGATTTTTATATGCAGAATTTGATATAATTCAGCAGACTTGGTGAGACGTGAGGTAAATTCTTTTTTGTCCTTGGAGCAGTCAGAGTAGAGGGCAGACGCAGGTTTCTAAGGGTTCTTTCTTTGCCAGTGAAAGATCACCTTTCTGTATCTACAGGCTCCCCTCCAAAACAGTCAGCTTAATCCTTGTGTCTGCTTAGCATCTGGTGTGGAGCTGGCTACAGTTTGTGCTGCTTGTTGTTTCCAGAAATAGTTTTCAGAGATAATTAGCTACTGTTCAGGCATATCACATTAGGTTACTATCTAAGAAGCAACTCATATATATCATTCCACAACTCTGAGGATTTCTTCTCCTAAGAACTTCTTACACCAATCTAGAAATAACTACTCCAAACATTTAGCCTATATTCTTTTGAGCTTGTAAAATTTGGCACATTATTACATTTGATGCAGTCTTTTAATTGTTAAATGTGTATGGTCATTAGATAATAAGTAAAGAAGAGTCAATCAGATAACAAATGTAAAGCTTTGTCTACACGATCTAATTCCTCTGGCTTTTCAAAATTATTACTCTAGCTTAGTAATTTTACTAAAGCTTTAAAGCTTGATTATACATATTTGTTATAGTCATATTTTTAAAGTAAATGTGATGTTATTGTTTACCTTATAGTCTGAGCATTTGATTTTGTCTTATTTGTAATATTAATAATCAACATATTCTTAATACTCTACATTTCATAGCTTTTTGTATGTGCAGTAGGTCAAATACCAAGAGCCTCACTAATGCTAGGCAGATGCTGCTACGGAGCCATGTCCAGCCCAGTCTCTGCATTTGGAAATTTGCCTATTTCTAACTTTTTCCCACAGAATTATTCATGTTTTTGCAAAGTAGACTTCAGTGTTTAGAGCACTTTTGAGTTTGCAAAAATTGGGCAGAAACTATAGTTTTCATATAGCCTCTACCCACTACAAATTCAGCCTCCCTCCACCCCACATCACATGATTTGTTATAATGAATGAACCTACATTGACACATCCTAGTCAACTCCAAGGTTCATAGCTTACACTGGACTTCACTTCCAGCTGTCATACATTCTGCGTGTTTTGACAGATGTGTAATTGCATATGTCCTTCATTGTAGTACTGCACACTGTAATTTCACTGCCTTAAAAATCTTCTGTGTTCTAACTATTCATGTCTTCCTCTTAATAGCAACCCAAGCTAGAAACCACTGATCCTATTACTAGCTCCACACTTTTGTCTTTTCTGGAATGTTTCATAATTGGCATTATAAGTAAATCATCCTTTCACATTGGCTTCCTTCATATGATAACATGGACTTAAATATCTTATGTGTCTTTGCATTATTTTATAGCTCATTTGTTTTTAGTGCTGAATAATACTTTTTGGCATCCAAATATTAATTTGGGGCAATAACTAAGTTATTACTTTTTCAAATATATTTTCTGTTCTGTTTTTTCTTTTACTCCTGGTATTCTTATTATGTATATGTTAACTTTTATAGTTAGCACTCTTGTCTATCCTACCTCTTCCTCCTCTTCCTCATTTTTAGTTTTTAGAGACAGGGTCTTACTATGCAGCCTAGGCTGGCCTCAAATTCATGGCACTCCTCCAACCTTGGCTTCCTGAGCTGAGGCAGCCTAACCTTCCCCTTCCCCTCCTTCCCCTCCCATCACTCCCTCTTTCCTTTTACTCAGTCTCTCTCTCTCTCTCTCTCTCTCTCTCTCTCTCTCTCTCTCTCTCCCCTTCCCTCCTTCCCTCCCTCCCTCCCTCTTTCCCCCCTCCTTCCCTCCCTCCCTTCCTTCCTTCTTCTTTACCTCTTCTCTCTCTTCACTTTGGGTAGTTTTCACTAATATAATCTCAAGTTTAGAGATTCTTCTGCTATTTCCTGTTTATCAACGAGACAATCAAAATATTCTTCAATTCTATCACAGTGCCTTTGAGCTTCTAGTGTTTCCTTTAGATCCTTGGAATTTTTGTTGTTGTTGTTGTTTGTTTGTTGTTTTGTTTTTTGAGACAGGGTCTCCCTGTAGCCCCAGTTGTCCAGGAACTCACTATATAGACCAGGCTGGCCTTGAACTCACAGACATCCACCTGCCTCTGCCTCCCGAGTGCAGGGATTAAAGGTGCATGCTACCACTCCTGGTGGTCCTTGGAATTTTTATCTGTTTTTTTGAATTAGCTTTTTTATTTTTTATTTATTGAATTTTTGTGAACATCATATAATATATTTTGATCACATTTAGACTCCCTCCTCTACCTGCATCCTCCTTATAATACCCTCCCACCCAATTTCATGTACTCTGTATATATGTATGCCTATTGAGTTGAATTTGTGTCCTCAAATGACCTTCGGTGTATATCTTTCCACTGGAGTCACACCCTTAAAATATCAACTCTAGTGGGGCTGAAGAAATGGCTCGGTGTTAAAGAGCACTGGCTGCTCTTGTGGAGGACCTAGGTTCAATTCCCAGCACACACATGATGCCTAACAACCATCTGTAACTACAGTTCCAGGGAGCCTGATGTCTACTTCTGACCTTTGCGGGCATTACAAGACATGGTGCACCTGCAAGCAGGCATTATACTCATACACATAAAATAATCAATAATAAATACAATATTTTAAAAAATATCGACTCTCCATTTCTCAGGTTTCTCTTCGGTTGCCAGTAGTTCTCAGCTAGGGTAAAGGTTCTTATCTACTTCCCCATTTCTATGCTGGAATTTTGTCTGTCCTAAGTTTATATGGGTCTTGTGTATGTTGTCACCATTGCTGTGAGTTCATTTGAGTAATTGCCCAGCTGTCTGGAAAACTCTTGTTTTTTTGTGGTCATAAACCACCTTTTGCTATTACTATCTTTCCACACCCTCTTCCATAATAATCCCTGAGTCCTGGGTGGCAGAGGTTTGATATGAGTGTCCTATTCAGGGATGAGCACTCTGAAGTATCCTATTCTCTACATAATGGCTAGTTGTGGGTCTCTAAGTTAATCACCATCAGCTGTATGAGGAAGTTTCTTTGGTGAGAGTTGAGAGATGAACGAATCTATAGATATAACAGTAAGTCACTAGAAGTCAGTTTAATACTATGTCTATTTTGCAGAATAGTAGCAGTAGGGTCTTCTCATGGCCTGTGACCTGTCTAGCCACAGGTTCCTAGGCTTGATATCAGTGTCAGGTATGGACTCTATCTTGTGAAGCAGACTATTAGTTACCCCCATAACATTTGTGCTAGTATTACACAAGTGGGCATATATTACCAGGCCAGTTGTTATTGTAGCTCTCAGGATTCACAGCTGAACAAGGTTAATGATTACTTTTCCCTTCTGGTAACATGCATAGCACCTTCCAGCACTGGGAAAGCTAGCTAGTAGAGATGAGGCCTTGAAGTGAATCCAGCTTAATTTGTTTTTCTGAAGTTCCTGTATGTAATGTCTTTAGCAATAGGTTGCATTATGTTTTCTTTGTTTTGGGCTTTTAACATTAGTTCTCATTGCATGATAATCATAATTGTTAAAAATTCACAATCAGATAAATCAACCACTCCTGCCATATCTGAATATTGTTCTGTCTGTTCATCCGTCCATCCATCCATCCATCCATCCATCCATCTGTCCATCTGTCCATCCATCCATCCATCCATCAATCCATCAATCCATCAATATTCAGACTTGTTGGTTTTTTCCTTTTAACATTACTTAAAGTTTTTGGATTGACAAGTATGAGATCCTGGGTAAAAGGAACTGTAGTCACAGGCTTTGATCAGTTGGCCAGTGCTAAGGCATGGGTTTGAGGAGCATTCTATCATACTAGTGTTAGATCTCACTTCTAGGCTGTGAACTTCTGCTTTTCTCCTTTTCCTTCTTCACCCATTGAAGTGGTAAAGGATGGCTGCAAGGGGCTACAATTATGTATTTTGCTTACCCCGGGTGAATGAAGCTCTAAAAAATATCCAAATAACTTAGACAGTGGTAAAATAGCTTCTTATGAAGGCAGGCCTTGTTAAGAACAAGGCTGTGATACATGTTCTCTTCATCCTGCCCCAATGCCTGGGAGAGTTTTCTCTAGCCTTCTCTGTGAGAACCTGGTGGATCTCCAGGAGGAAGCACTCACAAAAGTGTTCCAGATGTACCACCCTGTTCATGACTGGGATCCCCTGCACTCTTTGTCTGACAAAACAAAACCTCCAGGATTTGTTGATTGAAGTCCAGATTTTCCAACCCCTATACTGACTTCTATGGAATCTTCTGCCATGTGTTTCTGCTCATGTAAATTGTGATTCTCTACATGGATCTGTCATCTATTTCTCCAAATCTGAGGGCAGAGGTGTGCTCATGACCTCTCTTCTCTGATATAGCTAACAAATGATTAATTTTTAGTTCAGCTTTTAACATGTTATAATAAAGTGGCAGCTTCTAAGATCCTTATGTGCCAGACCAGGAACTAGACTGTCTTCTACCTTGTTAAGAAAAAAATCTCTCTCCGTTGCCACATTTAAAGAAGCACAAAGTCATAAAGCTTTACAGAGGCCATGAATGCTGTTAAAAAACCACTACATATAAAATTTTATTCTTAACTTTGAGGAATATTTCAGTCTTGCAGAATACTTAGGCATACACAAAATATGGCAAAAGAGGTGGGAATTCCTCCTAGTTGGAGGAATCACTTGTAATTATGGATGGTCTTATTCATTTTTAAGTGAAGAAAAATGGTGTTAATTGGAAAAGAATTGATTGTCTCAAGTACACAGGTGGATATAGGAAAAAAGCATGTGGAAGCCAATTGTAAAGGTAAATATAATAACATGCTCCTTTGGGCATTTATGCTCAGTTTTTTATATTCTTTGAGGCTTTCATACATATTTCATTGTAATGAGATAATGATCATATACACCCCCTTCAACTATCCCTACAGAGATACATCTCCCCAATAACTCCTCCTCTTAACTCCATTTCCTGTTTTTTGTTTTTGTTTTTGTTTTTTTGTTTTGGTAATCCATTAAGTCTGGTTAGTGATGTCCATATATGCATGAGTATCAGGCCATCAATTGGAGCATGGGAAACCTACTACTGGCCACACCCTGAAAGAATGATTCTCTTTCATTATCTACCAACATATGAACATGTATACTGCACATACCAAATATTATCCTGGAATAAGTTCCATGAGCTACTTGTTTACTAAATTTTTTAGCTTCAGGAGTGGTAGATGCAGAAATAGTACTGATATCCATGTTCTTTCTGAGTCTTTTCTGAGGTAGAATTGGCACCTTAGTGGTCCAAATGGAGGCAGCAGACACTCTGGACAGATAGGGGGCTTGTGTAATCAAATGAGTCAGGTCCATGAGTATGACCACAGGCAAGGGTACTAGGTTTTCTCAGTTGTACAGTTAAGGTAGACTGCATGCCTTACAATGTTACACAGATTAAATAAGGTCCTGCTGATATGAAGGTCTAGTCCAGGGTCCAGCATGTAGATACACAAGTAAAGGTGGGGTGATTTAGTTCTAGATCCTCTATACTCCAGAGCACACAAACTGACCAAACCCTAGAAAGCAGATAGACTTGGTATGAACTTGAGGAAGCCCAGCTAACCAGTAAAACTTAAAGGAGACTTGGTTAGGAATATGAAATCCTTCCTGATGTTATGACTTTTAGATGACTTAGCTCTGCTCAACTCTGGGAAGCTAATGTTTTAGCATTTTAATTAAAAGGACTGCTGAAAATGGTGCTGTTACTAATTGGTGATAAATCATAAAATTCTTATTTTGTAATTGTATATTTATTTGAACAGTAGCATGGGTACTGTTTTGAAGCAGTAATATTTTGTTATCTTACAGATAGTACCAAAGTTGCTGTGGTGGCCAAGAAAAGGGTAAGATTGTGTTGTGTTATTAGGAAATTAACTTCAAATCCTATCTGGTTAATGCTACTTTTCAAAGAAAATTAAATTATTTAAAAGCAAAATTATATCTAATCTATTTTTTATTCTGAAGGTTAGTTGAGTATATATTTGCTTTCTAGGCTGACTAGAAAATAAATATTTCTGATGATTTACGTTAATATTCCAGAATTAGAAATTAGAACAATAGAAACAGTGGATAAATGAATAATTTTATTTAAATCATATTTCATGTATACACTCATATTTAAAATATTTTTGTATATGTTGCTATAATGCATGAGAAAATTATATCATGGAAAGTTTAATTAAAGTTTATAACTAAAAGTAGAAATAAGACTTAAGTAGAGAATACCATTAGGCAGTCGAATAAATATTCTGGATAGAATATTTTAAGGGAACCTTATAAAGCCAAGAAAATTTTTTAAAAAATTTGAAATTTTAACATATTACTCTGAATATTGCATGAGGTGAACTCTGCTTACTATCAGAAACATGGCTGAGACAGAATAAATACTGACACTCTTCTCAAATGAGAATGCTCTTCAGAACCTCACTGAAAAAGAGAAGGGAGGGTACTTGAACTCCTTTGGACATGGAATGCATTAGTGGCATAAGAAAGCTAATTGAATCAGACATGGGGGCACATGCCTTTAATCCCAGTACTCAGGAGGCAGAGCAGGTAGAGTTCTAGGAGATGGGCCAGCCTGGGCTACTTAATGAGTTCTAGGCCAGCTGGGACTACAGGGAGACCCTATCTCAACAAAGAAAGAAGAAAAAAAAAGAAAAGAAGACGAAAACCAATTGTGCCAAAAGCAAAGCTGCGGTAGAATTTCCTGTGCTCATGGCTGGGGTTGGGGAAGAGCAGACACAGAGAAGGTCAAGTACAACCTGCAAGAACAGAAAGGGCTGTTAGGTATGGGTCTTTGGATTATGTGTCAATGAGATGAACATAATTCTTGAAGTTCTCATATATATTATCAGTTCTTTAAAAATTATATTTTATTTTGTTGTCATTGGTTCTATTTTGTTTTAAGGAAGGATCTTTCTAGGTAGCTCAGGCTGGCCTCATACTTACTATCCAAGGCTGGCCTTGAGCTCCCACCCCACCCTTCTGAGTGCTGGAATTATGGTGTGTCACATCATACCCAGCTAAAATCAGATTTTATTTTATTCTTCTGATTTTTGCCTTGTAAGAGAGATCTTGTTTTTCCACTGGTGAAATGATGCTGCTGCTCCTTTGCAGGAAGTTCAGTATCATAGAAAGCAAAGTTGCCTTCTATAGGAGTAAGGTAATAGGACTGTGTGCTCATTTGGAGTTGGACAAGAGGATGTGAGATACTGTAGTATTGTTAGTGCAGATAGAATTAGTTATTTCAGTGTCTACTAATGGACACAGGAAAAATATTAGTAACGATAATAACTAATATTTTTATTATTCCTTTATATTTACCAATTGTTCTCAAGAAGGGTAGCACCTTTCTCAGGAAAATGCTATTCATTATATATGTGTATGAAAATGTCATAATAAAACACATTATTTTTTCCAACTTATATACACTAATAGAAATGTCTTAAAAACTTATCCGGGCGTGGTGGCGCATGCCTGTAGTCCCAGCACTCGGGAGGCAGAGGCAGGCGAATGTCTGTGAGTTCAAGGCCAGCCTGGTCTACATAGTGAGTTCCAGGACAGCTGGGGCTACAGGGAGACCCTGCTTCAAAAAGACAAAAAAAAAAGAAAAGAAAAGAAAAAAAAAACTGTATCTCCTAGTGTCTTCCTCTATCTCTTTCTTTACAGTTTTGAAATTTTCATTGTTGAGATTTTTAATGTCTTTGGTTAGGTTTATTCCTAAGTATTTTATTTTTGTAAGGCTATTGAGAATGGGGGCTTCCTCTATTGCTTTTTCTGATTGCTTGTTGTTGGTATATAGAAAGGCTACCGATTTTTCTAAGTTGATTTTGTATCCTGCCACTTTACTGAAAGCATTAATCAGTTCTAACAGTTTTCTAGGGGAATTTTGGGGATCTTGTATGTATATCATATCAACTGCAAATAGGGATAATTTGACCTCTTCTTTTCCAATTGGAACTCCTCTAATTTCCTTCTCTTGTCTTATTGCTCCAGCAAGGGTTTCAAGGACTATATTGAAAATGAGTGGAGATAGTGGATAGTCCTGTCTGGTTCCTGATTTGAATGGGAATGCTTCCAGTTTTTCTCCATTTAGGATGATGTTGGCTATGGGTTTGTTGTGTACAGCTTTAATTATGTTGAAATATGTTCCCTCCAGACCAACTTCTTCTAGGACCTTTAACATGAATGCATGTTGGATTTTGTCAAATGCCTTTTCTGCATCTATTGAGATGACCATGTAGTCTTTAAGTCCATTTATAACAGCTTTATTTATGTCGAGGTATGTGAGAGAGAGACCAACTTCTTCTAGGACCTTTAACATGAATGCATGTTGGATTTTGTCAAATGCCTTTTCTGTATCTATTGAGATGGCCATATGGTTTTTGTCTTTAAGTCCATTTATATGTTTTATTTCATTTATTGACTTACTAATGTTGAAACATCCCTGCATCTCTGGAATAAAGCTGACTTGATCATGGATTGACTTTGGATAGCTTGTTTTTTCAATATTATTTTGATACTGCTCCTAAAGGTGTTTGTTCTCTCTCTCTCTCTCTCTCTCTCTCTCTCTCTCTCTCTCCTCTCCCCTCCCTTATTCTGGGGAACAAATCCCAGAGCCCTATGCATGCTAAGCAACTGCTGTGAACTGGGGAGATGATGCTGTGAGTAAGGATGCTTGCTATGCAGGCAAGGGGGACTGAGTTCAAATTCTCAACATACACATAAAAGCTGGGCAGGGCAGGGCCACACATGCCTATAACCCCAGATCCATGAGTTTCTGGTTAGGCTTCCTAGCCAAAATGACAAGCTTTCAGTTCAGTGAGAGACCTTGTCTCAAAAAAATGAGGTGGATATTAATAGAAAAAGACACCTGATGTACTCCTCTGACTTTTGAATGAGCACACATAGGTACACAGACTTATGCCAGTGTGTACATACAACCCCACACACACATACACAAGAATTGGGCATAATTTGTACCTCTTATATTATGAGATTTTTAGGGAAGGAGAGATATTTCCTGTGAAAATTTATTACTGTCATCCTTTGTCATATCTCAGAAATTATATATGTATACACACACACACACACACACACATATATATATATATATAATTCAACATAGGGGAATTATACTACCCCACTCATTTAGGAGAATGTCATCTATCAGGTGTCACACCCATAAAGAAAACTGACTCTCCCTCTCCCAATCAATTGGCAATAGATTCTCAGCTAGGCTGAGCTTCATTCCCACCTCCGTTCTCCGTGCTTGGATTTTGTTTGGCTTGGGCTTGCACAAGTCTTGTGCCTGCTGTCACAAACACTGTGGGGTTCTTATTTGCAACTGCCATGTTGTGTCTGCACAACACAGTTTCATTGTATTCATCTATCACCTCTGGCTTTTACAATCTGTTCTCCGCCTCTTCTACAATGATCTCTGGGCCTTGGAAGGAGAGGATGTGATATAGGTGTCCCATTTAAGGTTGAAGACTCTGCAGTCTTTTATTCCTTGAACATTGACCAGTTGTGGGTCTCTGTGTTAATCACCAGCTACTGTAAGAAGAAGCTTTTCTGGTGAGAGTTGAGAGATGTACTGACCTGGGTATAAAAATAAATCATTAAGAGTTGGTCTAATATGCTATCCATTTTGCAGAATAATAGTAGTAGATTCTCCCCTATGATCTGTGTCCTCTATCTAAAGGTTCTTGGCCCCAATAACAGTGCCAAGTAAGGGCTCCATCTTGTGAAGGGGCCTTAACTCCAATCATAAAGTAATTGGCTATTACCATAACGTTCATGCCAGTATTGCACCAGTAGGCATATCTTGCCAGTCTAGTTGTTATTGTGGCTCACAGGGTTCACAGCTGGGTAAGACTGATGATTGCTTTTCTCTTCTGGTAGCATGAATAGTACCTTCTAGTGCTATGCAAGCTGCCCAGTAGAGATGAAGTTTCCAAGTCAATACCAGCTTGATTTCTCTACTTTATTCTATGACCCTTATATGTAATGTCTCCAGCAATAGAGTCTTACCATCAAATTCTGGTGAGTAACTAAGAGCATTGGTAAAAGCCAGTACTGTTTGAGAGTCTATGGGACCCACCTGGTCAACAACTTTAAAAAACAAGCCTATTTCTAGCACTGGGCCTTTTAATTGCTAGCCTATGGTGTTTACATGGGGTGTTGTCCCCGCATTATAGAGTAACCCCATTTAAACTCTTTTTACGTATGTATATGTATATATTTTAGGAAAATCACATAGTAATATGTTTCCATACAACTTTTTCAAAAGGCCTTTAGTGTTAATTGTCCCTTCCAATACTCCCTCCTCTACCCTGCCATCCCATTTCTCACCGTAATTAACCCTTCCTATTCCGTTTTCCCCTTTCCCCATTTATATCACTGCATTCTATCTCCCCTCCTGTGAAGCCCCCCTCCCATGGTCCCTTACTAATTCCTTACCCTGAGTTTTAATTGGGTTGTTTTTTTTTTTTGATATTTAGTATTTTGAGTTCTTTGTGTATTCTAGATACTAACCCTGGCAGATGTATAGATAGTAAAGATTTTTTTTTCGATTCTGTAGGCTGCCTCCTCATTTGAACGATGGTGTCCTTTGCTGTACAGACACGTTTTAATTTAATGAAGTCCCATCTGTTAGTTGTTGGTCTAATGTCTGTGCTATTAGGGTCCTGTTCAGAAAGTTTTTTCCTGTGCCTATAAGTTCCAGTGTATTCCCTACTTTCTCCTCTGTCATATTCAGGGTATTAGGTTTTATGTTGAAGTTTTTGATCCATTTGGAGTTGAATTTTGTGCAGGGTAAGGGATGGGGATCTCATTTCATTCT